CTCACAGAGCGCTAGAGCGTCTTCTGAAGATGACCCGACACAAACAACCTCTCGTCGGACTTCGCAGTACGGATATGAGGAGAATGTCCCGTCTTCGTGACCCAGCGGATTACGTTGCGAAAGCAAAGCATCGATGGGCCGGTCACATTATGAGAAGAACAGACGACAGATGGACACTAAGAACATCGGAGTAGATTCCTCGCGAAGCAAAACGTCCCCGAGGAAGACCTCCAACGAGATGGGCAGACGTGTTCATGGACCAGCTGAGAAATCAGCTGGATACGATTTTTGCACCTGGAACTCGTGGACGTAGCCACCGACACGGCCCGGCACGCGTTGGTTTGAAGCGTTTCTGGAAACGAAGTCCCCCATGACTTTGCGAAAATTTGCGAAGTCCCTCTTGACGTAAAAATCAGTAGGGAAACCCTTAATTAGTCAAAATAACATTAAAAAAGCGAAAAAAGCGCATTTTGAGGTAACTAATACAACAAAAAAAGCAAAAAGAAAACATTTCGAGTTTATCAAAGGCTCTGTCATTGAGTAGTGTACCATTTTAGCGCTCAGAATGTCGAGAACCTCCTAGGCCAACCAAATCTGTGGCCTCAACTATCTGGCAGTGCATTTTTCGCCACATAGTTCAAAGGACACCGCGTGTGATTGGAGCGCAATATCTATCAAAGCGTATAGATTTGCACTACTTTTGGCTCAAAAGAAGAGGAGAGGCAATAGTTTGATTCGCTCTCTTCACTATATAATAGATTTTTGTGCGTTTTAATCGTCCAAATCAAAAAGGTCCAAAACTTATGTGAACTCTCCGAAATTTATGCTCCGAACCAACCCAGTTGGTTCGGTGGTTGGTCTAGAAACCAACGGAACGGATATTCAGACACATAAGTTTTGGGAACTTTTTACATAACATAGTTTGGAGTAATATTGTATACTCATAGCCCAAATTCGGAGCCATGTGATTGTTTGTGCGCTGTAAACAAGCCAATTGTTTGTTTGAGTCTGCATTTGAAATTCGCGCGCTTGCGAAAGAACACGTTCAACTCGTGAAACCTGACATGTTCGTCGTGTTTTTTGGCGCTTCCTCCAGGACCTCATAAAAACGATGTCCCCGTTGCTTCTAACTCCAAAAACGAAGTCCAATTTGACCCCAAACCATCGGTGCCGGGCCCTGGCCACCGACGTCAGCCAAGAAGATCGTGGATGTCTGAAGCGAGGGACAGGAGAAATGGAAACTTCTGAGCTGGGGCCCGCACATCACGTGAAGCCGGGCCATCTAAGTATCTAAGTAAGTAATGATGTAGAAGCATTATTTAGCACTAGTTGGCATACCCGGCTCCGCCCAGGCCTGTCATTATTATATTCGTAACTAGTTGGCATACCCGGCTCCGCCCGGGCCTGTCATTATTATATTCGTAATCAGCATGCTCGATTACCCCCCCCCCCTACAGTTGCAGCGGTGGAATTTGTCCAAAACTGCGGGATTGCCGGGATTCGCGGGATTGTCGGGATTCGCGGGATTCGCGGGATTTGCGACTTCGCGGGATTTGCGGGATTCGCAGGATTTGCGGGATAAGCGGGATTTAGCTATAACTTCTTTTAAAATAGCTTTATTTGTAATCTGAGTGAAGATTTGGTTTTGGCTTGATGAGACGAATCTTTTGATATACGGTATGTCCGTAGTTCATAGTGACGGGGTAGACATACAATGATACCTTGTTGTTTTCTACGTTAAGGCTTTTGTGAACATTTATCACAGTGTAAATCGCGTATAGGAGGTTCTGGTACGAAGCTCTCGTTATCGAAAACTATCGCGAAAAATTGGGCAGTTTTTATCTGCCCTTATCGCTGATATAAGCATTTTATCATTTATCACTGATAATAACACATTTTTGGATCATTTTTTGCATATGGTAAGGAAAGTACTGTAGGAAAAGCTGTGTGGATTTCTATCGCTCTTTCTCTCATTATAAGTGATCTACAGGCTTTTCTAGTTCTATTGCTCGGTGCAATTGGTAGATCCCTCGCTGCAGCAATCGATCGATTTTTCATCGGCACATGCCATTGCTGCCAATTCTTACCTAGAATGGCATTTTTGCTTCAACTCGCTTCACGCCGAAGCCTGGGCAGAAATTCTGTACCTATATCGAAGATGAACGTGGAAATCGACCGCATGAAGTTAAGCCATTCTTATCTCTCGTTGTCATTGATATCATCATTTTATCATTTATCACTGACGACACAAACTTGGATCATTTTTGATATACAATAAGAAATGTACTTTAGAAAACGCTGTGTGAGTTTTTATCGCTCTATCTCTTATAGTACAAAAGCCACTCACAGAACATGCAAAATTTCCGGGAATTCCGCGAAATTCATGTAAATCACGCAAATTACGCAGGGCCATAACTTTTTTCCGAATGAGTATATTCAAAATCCGAAAACAACGTTGTATTCAGCTCGTCAAGGCAAATCTTTTGATATACGATTGTCTCCAATATCTTGTTTTCAATAATCTTGAATTTGCATGCCGACGCCTCTTCGCATGGGTGTAACGCAACAAGCATCACACATAGGAGACTGCCATGGGCACCGTTCGATAGTACTCTTTCACTAGATTATCGTGCGCTAAAACAGCAGCCGAAGACTCCCTTTTAAAAGAGATAGAAGAGCTGATAAACTCTGGAAAAATTAATGTTCCAAGTTTTACTAGCCGTAACTTTCTTTAGAATGAACATTTTCGAAATCAGAAAGCAGATTTGTGTTCATCTTGACAAGTCGAATCTTACTGTATACAGCATGTTCTTGAAGTTCCGTTTTCAATTTTTTCAAAATTTTCTGCGCGCGTGTATTCACAAGGTCGCAACGCAGCGCACATCAAAAATAAAAGACTCTATTAAGCACTGTTGGATTGTGCTGCTTCCGCAGATTATCGAGCGCTAAGAAGCAACCGGAGAATCTTTTTGAGAAAAGATAGAAGAGCTGGTGAATTCTGGAAAATCGTGTTGTCTCAAATTTTGCCCACAGTGACCTTAAAATGAGAAGCTCTACTGCTAAGCAGATGTGATTTTCGTAATCAGCAGGTCAGATAACCTCTATGAGCAAGTTTTCAAAGAAATTTGGGTGATTCGATTTTTTCTCGTTCTACGCCCTGAAGCTCGCCGATGGGTTTTGGTCAAAATGTCGATGACCTTGGATTGTAAAGAAACTTCGCCCAAAGAGGTTTTCGAACACGCTGTTCACGAAAATAGTGGTCTTTGAAAAAGACAGGGTCTTTTTGTAGAGATATTGTGAGGTGACTGTAACTGAGTCACGAAAGTTCGTAAATTTGCCTGCACTTTTCGCGAATTTGTCAGAAAACTAGCCTGCTTGCTCTTCCAAGTCAAAATCAGTGGGAACTGTGCTATCAAAAGGTGCATGCTCAGGCTCCAGTCTATAAAGTTCGCCGAGTTACGAGCCTACGAAAAAACGTCCTCATAATTTTCGCTCAAAATGTAAAAATCGCGTATTTCGTCGAAATTCCGCCCTCAGTGGTTGTATGACATACTGATCAAATCTATTCACATTGGTTAATGGTCTTAATGTGCTAAATTTGGAGATTAGGTAGATCTGAGCTCAAGCTACGAAGATGCTTGTGTCGAGACGCAGACTAATTAGAGTCCGACAGTCCCCTCGCCGACTGGGCGGTGCCACCAACTTAAGATGAGCTGGCACTCCCCGGGTGCTCGGTGGTCCCCTCCCCAATTATGTTCCCTCATATTTATATTTATGTTATAACGATAAAATAATCTAGTCAGAACTGTTATGTTATTACAAAGGAAAGAAACTAAGGGTAGAGGGATCAAGTCAAGAGAATAGCTAACTCTTCAGACTTGACACCTGGATATTCAAATAGCAGCTGAAGAACGCGCGACCACCATATTCAACTCAATGGGATCCCTTAGGCGAAGTGAGTATATGCAATCAGAATGTCATACAACCACTGAGGGCGGAATTTCGACGAAATACGCGATTTTTACATTTTGAGCGAAAATTATGAGGACGTTTTTTCGTAGGCTCGTAACTCGGCGAACTTTATAGACTGGAGCCTGAGCATGCACCTTTTGATAGCACAGTTCCCACTGATTTTGACTTGGAAGAGCAAGCAGGCTAGTTTTCTGACAAATTCGCGAAAAGTGCAGGCAAATTTACGAACTTTCGTGACAGTACTCTGCGTTGATACCACTGCT